AAAAAAACACCATGAGACTGTATTTTGTATATAAAAATATTAACTACTTTGGTCACATATTAACAGAAGATTAACAAAGAAGTCATCTTTACCCATGAAACTGGTACTCACCACTAAGGAGCTTATATTTGCTCATGTGAAGACCAGCAAAGACCAGTACAGCATTAACCAAGTACTGTGCTGCAGCTGAGTTTCATCTAGAAAGAAACAGTTAAGCCCAAGTTTTTCAGTCCCTCCCCTCAACTCTATTTTTCTACCTTGTATATTTGAAAGGAATAAGGCAGATTAACAGAGAGTACTTAAGAAGGATTACTGGGGAATTACCAAATGTAGTTAATGAATTGTCCCATATCCACAGTGAGGACTACTAGACTCCTGGACAAACTTGCTTGATGCTGCTGTGAGAATCCCGGCCGCAGCTGGGTGATTCTCAGTTCCTCTCCCCTCTCATCCTCCTTCCCACCAGTTTAGATCCTGCTAAAGTAAAAACTTATTGATGGGAAGTTCAAAACCTAAGACAGGTCACTGAAATAAAGAACCAACTACTTCCACAAGTACAAACTCCTGTAGGAGTGGAGTAATTTTTATTGAACTCTGAGATGATCAATTGCAAAGCACAGCAATAAAATCCAGAACTGGTACACTTCGTAACAGCCTGAAACGTAGAATTGATTTTTGTCATAAGGGTTTGACATGCAGTTTTTTGCAGGACACTTAAAGCTTTAAAATCTCCTTTTAATCAGTGTAATGGCCCATTTCCTCCCAATACACACTTATGTTCTAAATTGCAGTGACTTCCTGATTTCTGAGAAGTAAGGCACTACAGTGTCCTTTCAGAGTAGTTACAGATTATCATAGCAGATGCTTCCCTCTGAGATCTGAAGTTCAAGATTGTCCACAGAAGAAAATGCAACTGGTGACTGAAGATGTATATCCAGTGATGAGTAACTATCACCACTGTTACCAAAACAGCCATTGCATTCTAGGTGACCTACTGTCAGACTCAAGAGGAAGCTTTCAGTGCACAGAGCAGAGCTAACTGTGTTCATCTTCTCACCTAGGGAAACTTTGCTCTGTTTCGGAAAATTTCATTAAAGCTCCCCTGTTCAAGCTAGGGGACAGATTTTAACTGCAGTCTCTAACAATCAGTATGTTCTCATGGCTGGGGACAAGGCACTGGATGAAGATCGCTGCATTTATAATTTTGGAATAGGAGTTGCAGCCACTGCAATGCTTTCAATCGCACATTCATCACTGCCACGGCGGATTCTGAAGTAACCATCTTCTCCCCATGAGGTGCCCCAGCTGTTCTTCACAATCCAGAACTTCTCACCACTTTTTGGATCTGTACCATAGCCCACCAGCAACACAGCATGATTGGTCAGTTCAAAAGGATTGAAGTCATCCTGCAGCCCAGTGTGGTGGTAGATTCCCTCTTTATAAAGCATGAAATCACTATAAACCTCAAAGGCAACAGCCATTGGCCCATGCAGAACAAGCTCGAGTTTCATCAGGGCTTCATTGCAGCCTCCATAGAAACCACCAACATAGTTGTACTCAGAAGTGTAGTAGTGGTAACAGCTGCGCTTGAAAAGGCATGGAGAATCTTGTGCTGTGTAAGGGAAGCAGTCCTCTTCCACCACACCAAAGTCTTGGACATACTTTCCAGCAATGAGGTATGGGAAGCCACCATCACAACCTAAACAAAAAAATAAAATCTGCTTTTTCCCTTGGAGAGTTATTTGAGGTGGGACTCTTCTATTCAAATCTTTTGGAGTACTTTTAGATACAGGATTGAACGCAGACTGCAGTGACCCCAGATAATCCTACTATTCCAGTTAGCTATAGCTAGCTTTCGGAAACACACAAGACAAAATTCACATCAGTGGGAGCTACACTGGGAACACTAATGCATGGACCACCTTCTCATCCAATTGCTCCTGACACTTCCCATCAGGAAGAGCAGTTAGTTACAAAAAAGACCTGTCCTAACACAGATACTATCCTTTGGAAAGCTTTAGTGACTGCTTTTGCTTGTCTCCCCCTCCCTGTGTGCTCATCCACCCTCTGAATATGCTTTTGGGAGGATATTTGTCTCCACTCTTTCTGGTATGCATTTCAATTTAGCTGTATTTTTAGCCCTACTCTTTAGATATTCCCCATCTCCCATGTAGATCTACCTAAAATCCAGTCACATCCTGAGCGTGGGGCCCTACAGTAAGCGGGGCTGACAACTCTGGAGTATTTTCTACAATTTCTCAAAAAAAGAAGTGCTGTAAAGTATAGCCTTGCCAGATACTTTACGAAAAAACTACATTGTGGGTGATGGGGAAGGCATGGAAGTTTTCCATATACAGTCTCCTTCTGCAGTATTATCATTAGTGAAAATTAGCTTTGTATACACCGTTGTACTTACCCTGAGAATACTGGCTGCAAGACACAACCTGCTGGGGACTAAAGATTGGTTTCTGAGTGTTGTTTGTGAGGATACGTATTCTTGCCTCCAGCATGCCCATGGAGGAAAATGCGTAACAGCTGCCACATGAGCCTGAGAAGAGGAGAAAGAACCACAAAGAGCAGTCAGTAACAACCAGGGCAAGTCACCTGCATTAAAGTACGACTATTGCTAGAGTCCACCAAAAAGAGTTAAAACTTACCAGGCAGTGACTAGCAGCTGAACATTGATAGAGCAAAAACTTTAAATACGCATTTAGCTTTTAAGCAAGCAATTCAAAACAGTTCTAAACTTTTGAAGGAACATTAAGCTTATTCAAGAGTAAGAGACAATATATTGCTCTACAGTGTTTTCCAGCAGTATCATTTAAGAGCTATGCTATTCCTTCAGAATGAACCGACAGGGACCACATTAGCAGGGCTGAGAAGGCTCATAACCTACTGCCTCAGACTACAACCCTTTATGGAGCACATATGCTAAGGGGCAATAAAATATTTTAAGGGAATGTTGACAATATTGTTCTAGATTATTTCAGACCATCAGTGGATTTAATGGTGCAATTTCCAGTTGAAAAAATATTCCACCTCTAGAGCTAACCCTAAAATAACTGACTTTTGAGAATCTAGGGGTATAAATAGCAGGTTGGAAACAGTGGATTCATCCCAGCTCCCCTTACTTCCTATAGGCATGTAATTTTTACACTGGCTTTTCAGAAGCACCTTAATTTCCCTTCTGTTTCCTGGCAGAGAGTTAAGTCTCCTTACTTTTGCATCAAAATTTAGTATTGCTTTTAGTTTTAGGCCTCTTCACTCCCTAGGAGCTTCTTGTAACACATTAAAAGCCTTTGGAAACAGAATGACAAGCATCACAGGAAGGACAATTACTTGGATGAGGTCCTATTTTATCTACTGATTGTCACCAAGGTGCCCCATTTCCTTTTGTTTCCTAACAGTAGCAAAGTCAAATATTGCAGAGTTATGAAAAGGAGGGAGGCTTGAGGAACAAAACAAAATACTTTCTCCTGAACTGTGTAGGTGTATAAAAGCAGAGCTATTATAAAAGCAAGACTTTGTGAAATTGCTCCTTCACTCAGTTGGATGTATCTCTGAAGAGAAGGCGCAAAAATTCAGCCTGAACATGAACAGTCTTTGCCCAGCGGGGCAAAATGAAGCGGTGAAAGGTGCCTCCCACTCATTGTACAATCACAGCATTGGAGACAGGCCACACTGCAAAACACTTTGTTACATTCTGTGTGCAAAAAATGTAAAAAATACAATTAATGCAACCATTTCAGCCTGAAGTCTGTTGGGGTGGTTGCTAAATTTCTTCCTGCTACCAGAATGGTATTTGTGAGGCCCACAGCATGGCAACCACATTGTATCAGCTGAGAGGCAACACAGCTGCAAGAGCAGTTGCTTCCGAGAGACTTCCCACAAATTCTCTCAGTATCAATTAAAGCTTCAGCCACATCAGATCCCACTCACTCTACTGCAAAAGGCTATTACATTATGAGGAATAAGGAGAAGACACAGCATATCTAAGTGAAGAATCAGCTGACCAGCCTTTTCACCTACTTTGATCTGCAGGAAAAGGTTGCAGAAAGAAGTCAGCATGCACTCTGAGGCTAACAAAATCTGTAGGTTCCCCTCTTCTCCCCACTGTAAAGGTGGTTAGCAAGCAGCAACAGGGCTATCTAAGATATCTCTTGGCTCAAAGATGCAGTTACTGCTCTATGAACAACTGGAGAACTCAACCTTTACTTTCTTAACTATAGGAAATACTAGCAGGGACGCTAACATGCTGGCAGTAAATATTACAGTCCAACACAACTGCAGTTGCATGAAACCTACCAAATCTCAGTCTATTTGACAGAGAATGAAAATTCCCTTTTAATTCTTGTCCACTTCAGATGCTGTATATTTTTTCTCCTTGGGTAAAGAGCAGTGGTGACTCCACAAGCACATAAAGTCTGGGAAGTCATGATCTTGTAATTCATACAATTCTCCCTGCATGTGCTGGAGAACTTGCACTGTACTGCTTGCAGCTTTCTCTCCCATGGCATTTTCTAATTAGTCATCTAATTGTGCTCATGATAACACAACTAAGACTTTCTAATACCATAATTTTAACGAAGCACTGATATACAGTGCCTCAGAAAATCATACAAGCTATCATAAGCAAGACTTAATTTGTATGTCAGCACTATTTGCACAAGGTCATCTTTTGGAGGTTTTGTGTGGTTTGTTTTTTCAAAAGTCTGAAAGATAACATTCTTATTTAATGGAGTAGAATGCATATTCCACAGACATTTAACATTCTCAGCATGGATTCTCAGATTACAGGAAAAGTGTAGGCAGCTTTATTATTGGGACCAACAGACTAGGTCTCATTTAGAGAAACTTTGAAGCAACACGAAGGAGAAAGGGTAAGTTTGGAACCAAGCATTCAACCGTTTGGAAGGTGAAAGAGCCCTTAAGATAGTCACAGTTCACACCAGGAGAAAGTACAGGGCTCACACCTAGACAGGACTGTATCATTTCCTGTTGCTATCTTTCAGTATTGCCACGTGTCAGCTTGTGAGCTAGACTCTCACAAGTCTTCCTATGCTTCTTCTGCTACCAGGAGTCCAGCTGGCTGAATTTGGCAGAAGAACCAAGCCATCAATGAGGGACCAGTGATTTAAGTGATGCTCTCCTCACCATACTAATGTTATGTTCCCTGCCTCTCAAAGTTGCAATCAGATAGCTACCAGCAGATGCAAACTTACTGCAAAACAGTGGAGCAGGGAAGGGACACACTAACTGAGTTTGCTCCTGGACTCCAGTATGTAACTAATTCAGGTATCTCACACCACAGTGCTATAAAAAGCACTGCCTATAAAATAAACATAGACTTAAAAGGGTACTGTTCTGGTATACTTTGAGCTAAATACTTTCTGTTCACAGGGGCAAAAAACCCCAGGTTTTTTACAAGTACTCTATGTGTCCACACTTTTCATAGTGACCCATATATCTTCTTCCAACTAGACATTTAGGTAACTCCTAAACTTATCTGGGTGATAAGATTTGGAGGCAGGATAAACAATTGTCATGGGTTTACTCATTAAAGGTGCATGATAATTTGCCATCAGCAGTAATGAGGGAGAGAACTAAACGTACACCAGTTCTGTCAGCATGCAGAAAACCATGACTGAGACTGTTTGGACAAAACTTGACAGCTGTCTTTATGCAGGACACTGTGGTAACTGGCTTTCACTCCAGCAAGAGACTTTGCTGTTTGGATAAGCCAGCACCACCTTCTCTTTTGGCACAGGCAGGACTCCACCCAGCTTCCACAGGTTACTCACACTAAAGGTGCACTCTGTCAACAGCAAGACACTAGACAAAACCTTGTTAACAGCAAATTACAAAGTACATCAAAGGAGCTCTATAGCATTTCATTCAGACTTTTGATTTTATTTTTCACCTTGATTCCGAACAGGGCTGACGTAATTGACACCATTCACATTTCTCCAGTCCCAGGATTCTGGCAAGCCTGAAACTTTTTTGAGTAACTCAGGCGTTAGAGGTGCAGGCTTTGGTCTAAAGAAGAAAAAGTGCTTTGAGTAACAGATCACACTCTAGGTAAGGAAACAACCACATAACATTCAGTTGTCATCTTCTGGCTTCTACTAGTTGCACTTACTTCTGCGCTAGGCAATTTCAAATAGTCTCCATCTAAACCAAGTGGGTGTCAATCTCAAGAGATTAGTTTAAGCAAGATACCAGATCTACTCAAATCCCTTCCTGAGGGAACTGTATTATGAACTATGCACAAGCTGGCAAGGTGAATACTTTTGAACCAATGTGAAGTGCTGAGGTAATGCTCAGTGACTGTAACAATGCAGCTCTGCAACAGCTATTTACACCTCTGCCATCATGAGGTATGGAGAATATCTGACTGAAGAAGGCAGCTTGACTTGGCATCACGCAGTGACAGGAACTACAGACTATTTAATTGCAGGCAAAGACATGGTTTACATCAGTGCTTCAATAACTGCAGTGCCACTTACCCTGGAGATTTCCTTGCAGCAAGTTTTTACTGTCACTGTTGAAATAATATTGAAAGTTACCTGTCCTCACCTACCACTTGCTGCCAAGTGATGCTCATGTATCAGCAAGCCAACAGCTTCCTGCATTCAGCTTTCACATAACCTGATGCTTGCCCCATAAATCATGCCATCAAGTGCCATTCACAAGCATCAGACACTGAAAGTCTGTTCTGAAAGCATGAGAGGGCCAACAAAATACTGACATGGCACTGCATGGTGCAACAGCACTTCCAAATACGTTACAGCATTGAAGACCATCTACAAGGTGACTTCTGTCTGCAGGATGAAACCATGATAATCTGCATGATACTCCCATGCAAATCAGAATCTTTATGGTATAGTAGGACCTTCTACAAACATAAAATTGCCACATTTTGTAAAAGTAAGCAGCATTCAGAGTGGAAGCAGTATCAGAGTGGAAGAAGTAAAGATACAAAGAAGGTAAAACAGCTGTAAAGAAGGGAGTTTTCGGATCAAAGAATAGTTCTCAAGTTAATGTAGAGGGCCATGCATCCAACCTTACCATTCCCTGCCCTGTGATCTGCAAGAACCTGAAGGCACTCTCAGGCCTACTTCACACTTCTTCACTGAGACACCTCTGCTCCTGTTAGAGGACCCTGGTTGCAGGCGTGGCAAATTATCAACATAACCAGGGAATTTCCTCTGAAAATATTTATTATTCACATTTAATAGCAGAATTCACTGCTTTTTAATCGCAACTATGAACTAGCAGAACCAGGAAGATGGTCAAGCAGATACTCCTGACTATGGCAAGCAGGTGATGGGTAGACATAAGAGCAAGATGACAACTGAGACTGTCCCCACTTCTTCTCTGCACATACAAATACAGCCGCAAGATTAGAGGGAAGATGACCTTATTTGTCTCAACTGCTTTAGACAACAGATGCTCAGAATAATCATTTAAATTAAGAAATATGTTGGCACTCCATGAAAATGAGCTTGAAGGCCTTAAAACTCGATTAAGCATCTGAACTTCAAGCCAAAAGACAGCTAGGAAGAGCCCGGACAAATACAAGCAGATTCTTTGCCACAGCGGGGTTTATGGCAAAACAAAAGGCCTTAGTACCTTGGAGCTCTGGAATGGAGACCCCCAGATCTTCTAGTTAGATCTTCCAGGGTAAAGTGCTCATATTCCTTGTATCTTGTTGCTCTCCAGGACTTCTGGTGAGCATTGATAGCATTTACGAAGTCAATGTTGTGCACATAACGTCTGCTTGAAAGTCTGCAAACAAAGCAACCAAACAGTAAGAAAAGGACTGGGATTGAAAAGTAAAGGTGTTCTCTAAACTGAATATGGAAAAGACTACCTCTGGAAGTATGGAAGAGTCTTCTGGTAGATACCGATAAAGAAACATGCAATTACGGATCAAGGCACAGTTTCTGCAATTTGAGACTAACTAGAATGATATAATCATCTTCTCTAGACATGCCAGTTTTGTAACTGGGCTTCACAACAGACTGAAGGAGAAACTGTGTGATGTGACAGGCACACCCTCCTGTTTTAGTGCATTCAGGTTTATTCCCAATATTATCACTGGCATTAACTTTGCCCTCAGAAACAGAACTGGTCCATATGGTTTCAGCTGAAACCTGAAGCACAGTTACCAAATTATTTATTCCAGTAAAAGGTCACTTATCTGTTGCTTACCTTCCCCTGGGCTTCTGGAGAGGTAGCTCATTTATGTGAACATCTGAGGGAGATGAAGAAATCTTCTGCCCAGTGAAACAAGCCCAATTGTGGCCAAGCACATCATGTACCCATCCTGGTAGAGTCTCATTACAGTAGCTGGTTACATTCTGGCCTTCCTTTTTGTACTGTAATGTGAAGAGATTATGGTTGTGTTGAGTAGATGCATGTTAGCATAGCAGTAGTCCCTAAGAGGAAGTGGCCAAATGTTTGAGGTCGACCAGCATCATGTTTGATTTTAAAACAAAGCAGCCTCAAGAAAAGGTTAAGTAGATGAAACAAACTGATCTTAAATTGCTACAGGAAGGCAAAAAAAAGTTGTGACTTGCACTTTTAGACACAAAGCATGCATTAGTATCAGAATCAACTAACAGGTGCCAATTGTTTGGGTCCAACAGTTACTATCTAGGCAAAACATAAAAGACCTCTTCCTACATACCCTTCTCTTCAAGGCCTTGTGGCTTCTTGCACCAAATATGTGACTACTCAAACTAAGACTCACAACAGCGTGAAAAGTAAACACAGGCAGGATGGCAATTTTTTCATCCAGTAACCTCAAGGAGAGTTGTATTCCAGCATTTCTGCTTAAGAAGTCAGAACTGAAGATGAGACTTCCTACAACTGCTTTAAGTTTGAGCTGTGGTGGAAGATCATCAAAAAACCAGTTTCACCTGAACTACCAAAATGAGACAAGAAGAAATTATGATCAATTGAGAGCAACTCATGTGAAGTTACCAGTGAGGGGAGTATTACTAAAGCCTCAAGTCCCAAGTCCTAATAGGTCATTTTCAGCTACAGAAGTCTTTATTTTACCAATGAAGAGGAATAATAAATTCATCTATTCAATAAAAAGTGTCTTCACACACTGGGAATAGGCAATCCCAAGCACAAATACAGGCTGGGTGGAAAATGGATTGAGAGCAGCCCTGAGGAGAAGGATTTCCAATCTCTAACATTCTGTGATTCTGTGTGATTCTGTGACTTGGGGGTGTTGGTTGATTAAGAGCCGAAAATGAGCCAGCAATGTGTGCTTACAGCCCAGAATGCCAACCATACCCAGGGCTGTGACCAGCATGTCAAGGGAGGTGATTCTCCCCCTCTGCTCTTGTGAGACCCCACCTGGAGTACTGCATCTAGCTTTGGAGTCCTCAGCACAGGAAAGACATGGACCTGTTGGAGCAGGCCCAAAGGAGGGCCACAAAAAGATAAGAGGGCTGAAGCACCTCCCATAGGAGCACAGGCTGAGACGGTGGGGTTGTTCAGCCTAGAGAAGGCTCCGGGGCAACCTTATAGCAGCCTTCCAGTACCTGAAGGGGGGGCTACAGGAGAGATCGGGAGGCACTCTTGATCAGGGGGTGTAGCAACAGGCTTAAACTGAAAGACGGTAGATTTAGATTAGCTATTAGGAAAAAAATTTTCACTGTGACAGCAGCAAGGCACTGGAACAGGTTGCCCAGAGAAGCTA